GCCAGCAATTGCCGGGCGTTCCCAATTTCCCTCCCCCACCCCTTCAGCCACTTCTTAAAGGAGCAGGCCAGCAATTTTGGAGGGTGGGAGAAATGGGCCAAAACTAAATGTTCTGTGGGATGTGTTCTGTGGGGTGCAAGCATCCCAGTGTGTGTGTGTGTGTGTGTGTGTGTGTGTGTGTGTATTGACATGTGTGTCCATGTGGGTGCTTCTGTATGTGCCTGTGTATATGTGTTGACAGTGTAACTGTGTCAAAAGGCCTATGTGTCTGAGCGTGTTGCTATTTCTGTTTCTGTCTCCACCTATGTGTCACCATTATGCTGCATGTGTCTGGATATTTACCTATGCGGATATGTGTGATTATATTTCAGTCTCTGTGTGTCTCTAAATGTATCACTCTGTGAGGCTCTGGGCATGTGAGGCACTCTGTCCCAGAATGTTGGACTATATGAAGGGATTTCTGTGGGTTTGGAATGTATGTCCCTGTGAGTGAATATCTCAGTGTCTCTGATCCTGGCTTAGTTTCTCATACTCCCTCTTTGAGTCTTTGTGAGTTTATTTCTATGAGTCTCAGTGTATCCCCATACTCTCTTTATTTTATACTGAACTAACATGCACAATTCCTATCTTGCTAGGAGACTGGTTTTGCCCTCACTTCTGGCATTTGGTGTGATTAAGGGATAGCCAGCTGAAAGGACCAACGCTTACGGATTGGGGAGCAGTGATGGCTGAGGAGAAACCTACCGCAGGGGCTCAAAGGGGCTCGGGAGGGTGGGTCTCCTCCCTTGCCTGAGGGTGAAAGGCTCTAGGTTGGGGGAGGTTCTGCCTATCTTCTGCTTTTCCTTCTGATGCCTTAGTGTTCCTAAGTAAGGTTGACAAGCCTGCTCTCTCCTGATAAGTTGGAGGCCCTGTGTAGGATTACCAGATCCCAGGAGCTAGACAGCTCAGTGTTCACACAGTATGCCCAGGGACCCAAGATCTCTTGCCAACACCCCCTTCCCAAGCATGTGCTACTCTGGCTCCAGCTGATTCTGAACTCCATTGGCTGTGGAGTTAAAGCTGGGGACTGTGAACTTGCAGTGACAACTAAATTTTCCAAACATGGCCAGGTACATAGGATGGTTCTGACCAGCAGTGGGGCATCTGTGAGTTCCTGAAAACTCTTCTTACTGTAGGAAAATAAGCCAAGCCAGCAGGGGCCCAAAGATGGACTCTGTGGCCCTCTCAGACCTTCTTGGATGACATGTACCTCCCTCTTTCCACAGGCCTGTCTGGCCCTGAGTCCCCTTTCTGAAGCGGTGGTGCTTGGACGACCTGCTCTCTACGTGGCTGGGCATTTGTATGTGCCCTTTGAGAGCACAGTTTTGAGGTTCAAGTCAGTGTGACCATGAAGGGGCTGCCTATTGGGCTGATGCTGTGACATTGGAGTCTGCCTTTCCTGCCAGTCCCCCTGCCCGGAACATGTGGCTGCGGCTTGGCCCGCCCTCGATGTCCCTGAGCCCCACACCCACAGTTGGCTGGAGCCTGTGCCTCACCCTGTGGTTCCTCAGTTTGGTGCTGAGGGCCAGTACCCAGGTCCCAGCACCCACAGTCAATACTCACTTTGGGAAGCTAAGGGGTGCCCGGGTACCGTTGCCCAGTGAGATCCTGGGGCCCGTGGACCAGTACCTGGGGGTACCCTATGCAGCTCCCCCAATCGGCGAGAAACGTTTCCTGCCCCCTGAACCACCCCCATCCTGGTCGGGCATCCGGAACGCCACACACTTTCCCCCAGTGTGCCCCCAGAACATCCACACAGCTGTGCCCGAAGTCATGCTGCCAGTCTGGTTCACTGCCAACTTGGATATCGTCGCTACTTACATCCAGGAGCCCAATGAAGACTGCCTTTACCTGAATGTCTATGTACCCACAGAGGATGGTGAGTGCTGCAGCCAGGCACTGTGCCCTCCCTGCCTCCCGCCTGCCCTGCTGTGTTTGTGGCTTGCATGTGGTCGTGTGCCCTGCAGCATGCATCCGTCTGTCTGTGAAAATGCTTCTAACCATCACTCTGCTAGGCCTCCCTCCCCTCCCTGTTCTTCCCTCTCCCAGCATTGTCTGAGCTCCCATGTGTGAGTGACACTGTTGCCAGGAGGGGCCTGGCAGGCCTGAGAGCTTTGACAAGTCTAGGTCCAGTGCTGGTTGGGGTTCCCTGGGGGAGTATGGGTCACTGCTGGCAGCTGCCTGAGGGAGGATGCTGGCTTCACCAGGCCCCCCTGTTGCCATTCCACCTGCTTCAGAGGTGGTAGGTGTGTGTGGCCAAGGGAGCCGGGTGTGTTGGGGGTGGGGGACAAGCCTGGTGGGCAATGCTTAGGTGCCTCCTCTTTCACTAGCTGATGCCTCCTCCCGCGGGGGTCACACTAAGGTAAGTGACAGAAACAAGGAGATGGTGGGACAGGCTCTCTGCCATGTGCCACCTTCAGAGCAGTTCAGCTCTTGGGGCCTGGGGGTGGGGGGTGCATGCCCCTGGGCAGAGGCCTCTTGTTATTTTTTAGTTTTTTATTCATTTTACAGTAAAGCGGATTTCCAAGGAATGCGCCCGAAAGCCCAACAAGAAAATTTGTAGGAAAGGAGGTAGGTAGCAAGCCGGTGGGGAGGGAGAGAGAGAGAGAGGGAGGGCTGCCTGCCCACCTGCCCTTGCCCCTGAGGACCCAACCTTCCTTCAAGTAGCCCAGACTCAAGGTGCTGTGAGCAGGTATAAGGTCCACCTTAGCTGAGGGCCCTGGCTGCTTTTCAGGGAGCATCTGGCGACCTAAGTCAGGTTCAGAGCAGAAGCAGCAACCCTATTGCCCCCAATCTTCTAGCTCCAAATCCCATCCTAAAGCATGTGCCAAAGACAGAGCCACTGGCTCTCAGGATAAACTCTAGGCATCCAAGATGGAGCAGAGGCTCCCTGCTTCTATGGGTGTGAAGTCACAAGATCATCCTTCCAGTTCTGTGTCCTGGGTTGAAAGTTTAGACTCAACTCTCCCTCCCCAAAGCTTAGACTAAACATGTATACAGAGTTAGTTACTCCTTACACACACACACACACACACACACACACACACACACACACACACACACAGACACTCCCCTACCTTAACTCTGACCAGAGCCTTGCTGAGAGCCCCAGGTTGCTCTAGTGGCAGAACTTGGGATCTCTGAGAAGTGTGGACTCCAACTCCAAAGGAGGCAAATTTTAACTTGATCCTCTTGCCAGCATGGTGGCGCATGCCTCTAATCCCAGCACTTGGGAGGCTGGGTCAGGAGGATCACCACGAGTTTGAGGCCAGCCTGGACTACATAGTGAGTTCAAGGCCAGCCTGAACTACATAGCTAGACCCTGTCTCAAAAAACCAAAGAAACAGGCCCAGGGATTTAAATCAGTGGTTCCGCCACCTGCCTTGCAAGCACAAGGTCCCAAGTCCGATCCCCGTACAAAAAAAAAACCCTCTTGCTGAGAGGAATCTATTCTCCTGAATAATCTTCCTGTTCAAAACTACTTTAGGCTTTCTGCAAAGCATTCTCATATTTACCTCATAAAATACTCCCCTCATCTCAGGAAGTGAGTAAGGCAGGAAATCAGTACCCCAATTTTACAGATGAGGAAACAGGCCCAGGGCAGTGATTTGCTGCTGCTCAAGGCCCCATTGCTGGCCTGTGGCAGAGCTGGAACCAAAACCTGGGTCTCTTGAGCCTCAGGGCATGTTCTTTCCACTGTAGCACATGGAAGCAACTCCCATCTGGTCATTCCTACCTCCCCAAGTCCAAGAAAAAAAGTGGTGACATGGGGCTGGGTTGGGCTAACTTGGAAACACTAATACCCTAAGGACCAGGTGGACAGTCACAACCTGATCCCTGCAATCCTCTGGCAGGTTTAGAGTTTGTTTCTCTTTGATTTCCTAGGGGAAGGTCTCTCACAGTAGGGCCACTAGAATTTCTAGGATGGGATACTCCCTACTGAGTAAGAATCTCTGGGGGAGAGCCAGGAATCTACACATAAAACATGTGCACTGGGGCCGGGGATTTAGCCCAGTGGTTCCGTCGCCTGCCTCGCAAGCACAAGGACCCGAGTTCGATCCCCGGTACCAAAAAAACACAAAAAAACAACAAAAAAAAACATGTGCACTGGGTGTTTTTAAAGCACATGGTAGAACACAGAGAGATGCAGTGCTCTAAGGACTGTGTTTCAGTACCCCTCCACCCCAAGTTTAGGACCTTATACCCAGTGGGCAATCCATCAATGTTTTCCCCATGAAGGCTGAAGCATTGTGGTGCTGCAGAAAGTACAGGTCTGAGAAGCACAAAGCCTCACTGAGTTCCAGCTCTGCTGCCAGCTCACGGTGAGACCATAGGCAAGTCTTTTCCTTTAAGAACCTCTGTTTCCACATCTGAAGGTGGAAAGAGACCATTCTGGCTTTAACATTCCATCAGCCTATAAATAAATTCAGGAAGCCTGTAATCCCAACACTTGGGAGGCTGAGGCAGGAGGATTGCCATGAGTTCAAGGCCAGCCTGAACTACATAGCAAGACCCTGTCTCAAAATAATTTAAAAAACTAAATTCAAGAAGAGGGACTTTTAAACCTACTCCTATGAGTTATTTGGTGGGGTGTGGTGAGAAGAGATGACATTACTATTAACAATTTCTTAGGAAGAATGAGTTCCCCAAGGCTCCAGGGCAGCCCAGTCCACTATCCCCGAGACTCACCAGAGAGCTGACTGGAAGCCCTCACTCAGTCTGAAAGTTTACCAGTCACAACTGTGGATGCTGGGCAAGGCCATGTGCTAGGTGCAGCTGGAATGCAGAGGGGTGTGAGGTAGAGGAAAGATTTGAAATGATGAAAGGCCTATTCACTGTTCTGAAGAAGCTCCTTGCCTAGTATTACAACTCAGTTGCTTCCCCTTAAGCTTGTCAGGCCAGTCTAGGAAGTGGGCTTCGACAGTTTGGAGGAGGGCATTCTGTCATTTTGCTGTTCAAAGTGGCTCCCTATCTGGTCCCTGCTGGCCATTTGGAAGAGTTATGAATTGGACCCCTCTGGGGAGACCCATACCCAGAGATCCGTAGAGCCATGGTTTGCATAGGTCAGGCAGAATGGCCTGGGTAGATCCTGAAGCAGCGTAAGGCAGTGGTGTCTGGCACAGGCCATGGCAGCAAGGACGTGCTCGGCAAGGGCCAAGCTGAAGGAGCAAAGGCACCTGTGCGAAGGAGACTGGGACAATGCAGCAAGCCAGGGAACACTCAGAGAGGGGCAGAAAGAATGCATCTTCTAAGTCAGAGATGATGGGAAGTGAGTTTCCTGGGGAAAACCTGTCCCACCCCCACCCTGTCAAATTGGAGGGAATTCTCTAGGATGAGTGATTCCGTCCAGTTTGGTGGGCTGTCCACTGTTTGGGTAATGACATCCATGTCCCACTGGATTTCTAGGGGAGCACTGGCAGGTGTTGAGCTAACATGCTAAAGATGATAGGTGCCACCAGAAGTTCAGGAAGCTGGAGGCAGTTTCTACCGTAGGGGTGGGTTCTTGCCCTAGTTGAAAAGCCACTTTTTTTTTTTTTTGGTACCGGGGGATCGAACTCAGGATTTTGTGTTTGCAAGGCAGGTGCGGTGCCACTGAGCTAAATCCCTGGCTCTGAAAAGCCATTTTGTAATGTGAAGATGGTTTCTGTTTTGATTAATAGCTATAAGGAAATCTAGTCACCAGAACTCAGACCAACTGAGAACAAGAGCTATTTGCTTCCTCCAGGTTAAGGGTATCTTGTGTCAGAGACTCAAGAGGGCCAAGCCCTAGACTACCAGCAGAAATACCTCAGTTTCCACACACTGGTCAGCATGCAGGCAGTAGGTCCTATCTCTCCACAGTCATTCCAGGACACACTTTTTATCTCCTTAGAACAGGAAGGAAAATTGGTGCCAGCCTATCCAGGTCTTAAATGTCTCTTCTCCCTTCTGGTCTCTTCTCTCTTCTAGTCTCTTCTCTCCTCCCCTCCCCTCCCACACTCCACCTCTTTCCTCATCTATGTCCTTCCCTTTCCCTCATCTCCAAAAGGTGGCATGGTGCAGTGGAAAGACCATAGCCTGTGGAGTCTAGCAGACCCGGATTTGAATCTTGCCTGTAGCATTTCCTAGCTGTGTGATGTTGAGCAAGTCACTTTACCTCTCTGAACCACAGTTTCCCCATCAGTGAAACAGGAGTAAGGATAGTACCTATCCTATTGAGGTTTAAGAATCAATATGGCAAAAGTAGTCTGGCACATGGTAAATATTCAGTATATGGTAGGAACTAATTATCATTATTTTTATCTCTGTTTTCTTCTTCCTTCTTCTCTCTCCCCCCTCCCTCCCTTCTTCCCTCCCTCCCTCTCCCTCTCTCCCTCTCCCTCCCTTTCTCCCTTTATTCTTTTCTCCCTTGCTTCCTTCGCTCCCTCCCTCCTCTGGCTCTCTCTATATCGCTGAGCAATGCTTGCTGCTCTCAAGACTGGTTCCTGTGGGCAGGAACCCCATTGCCATTAACCAGGGCAGGGGACCCCAGTGAGCAAGGCCAGAGGGAAAGCTTCATCTTGCATTTTCTCCTGTGGGAATCAGAGTCAGCTGAAGCCCAGCTTGAGCCTGCCCACTGGACCCTGCTGGTGGCTCAGGCCTGGTGTCCCTGGTACACATTGATATCCACATGTGCTGGCAATGTCACCTTCATCTTCAATACCTCCCCTTGCTCTCCAGCTCTACATGCCTGTGTACATATGTGAAGCCCTTCCACCCAGAATGAATCCTTCCCTGAGTGGGTCTCCGGCTCTGTGCCCTGGCCCACCTGCTGCGATCTCCTTCCTAACTGGGAAGGGAGTTGGTTGAGAGGGGCTGTTGGGGACAGGGAAGGGGGGGCAGGGAGGTGCAGGAAGGCCAGCATAGCAGAGGCCTGTACCACCATCATCCTCATTAAGGTTTGGGCCTCAGCCCACCTATTCCCTCAGTTCTTGCCATCCCTCCTGCCTGTCCTGGGCCCAGGCCCAGAGCTGGCTTGCTGGGCCACACTGCAGTCATGCTGTTTTTGAATTCTCTCTCTGTTTTGTTCTCTGTTCTGTGCTGTTGTGTCTCCCCGTGTCTGGTCCCCAGGATCCGGCGCTAAGAAACAGGGCGAGGACTTAGCGGATAATGACGGGGATGAAGATGAAGGTATTTGGGGGCTGCAGGGCGCGGCGGCTGGTGCATGGCACAGAGCCCCTCCCCTTCTCAATGGGGAGAAGCCCCGTCTGTCTGTCTGTCCGTCCGTTGGTGTGTTTCTGTTCCTGTACAAGGCTGCTGAGCCTCCGTCTTTGGCCTCATTGGCCCCTGGGAGTTCCGGGGTGATGGACACGGCTGGCAGGAGCAGGGAACCACAAGCAGAGCCAGGAGGAGGGCATCTTCCTCACCTTGCCCTTCACCACCCCATCTTCTGTGCTAATGGGTACCTCCCCTTCCTGAGCAGCAGGGAGAATGGTGAGCAAGGGGGAGGCTGAGAAGTGGCACGAAGGACATTGGATGGTGAACAGATACTGGTGATTCATAAAAGAGAGCCCTGTGTCTCATAGGGAGCCTGTCCTGGGAGTGGGGTCCAGCAGGATGGCACACTGAGGAACAAGACAACAAAAGGGGCTCGAACCTCCCCAGTCTTCTCTCAGAAAGAGAGAGGTGATCACAGGGCTCAGGGCTGCAGTAGGCTCAGGACAGGACCAGAAAGACTATGACTAACGTGCCAGGCTGAGGCCAGGACACCACAGCTGTCAGTAGATGTCATAAGATCCCTGGGCAATGATCGGGTCAGCCTTCCTCCTTGGGGTAACAGGTTTGTTCGTTCTGCAGCAGAAAGCATTCCAGTCTACCTCTGTACCCTGGTATTGTCCCTTCACCAATGGAAGGGCCAGACAGCTCAGAGGGACCCACTTGTGATGGGTAGGGCTGTGTGGTGTGGCAGAGTGTTGGTCCAGCTCACAACCCAACAGGCTACAGGCAGAGGTGGTAAGGCCTGGAGCCTTCTCTTGACTGCCCCAGTGCTGACATCACATGGTGGGCCTGGGAGAAGCCATTTGACAGGCCCTGGTTGAATGGCCTCTCGGGAAGCTCCATCTTCATCTAATGCTGACAGGGCGCAGGCTCTCCTTAGTTCTGCCCCATCCCCAGTGTTTCCAGTTAAGTCTGCCCAGGGAGAGTGGGGTAAATGGGCATATGGCTGAAAAACCATGTCAGTAGGGTTCCCCCCACCCCATCCCTGCCATTCACTCTTTCCTCACATCCTTCCTTGTTCTCTCCCTGTGCCACCTCTTACTCCCACCCGTCTTGTCTCTGTCTGCACTGGGGGTCCAGCAGCTGCCAGTGGCTGTTTATCCATGTAACTGGTCTAGTTTGGGGGTTTCAGGGCTCCCCAGCCCCTGCTCTCTATTAAGCCATGTCAGGTCCCAGGACTCCTGGATGCCCAGGGCAGGGACTAACCTGATACAGCTAAAAGACGAGCCCTCCCTCTTCCTGCTGCCCCCACCACCAAAGCCTGACCACAGCACACCTAGGCCTAGCTGTATCTGGCATGCCAGGCCACCTTTATTTGGGAGGCATTTAAAATTTGAATCTTTGAAAACATCACTGAAGTTCAACCATCTCTGGCCCATGCTTGAGCTCTGGGCTAAACAACCCCATGAGTCCTACCCTCCAAAATGGCAGTGGTTTGTCCTGGCACCTGGGATAGCTTTGCTGCCCACACCCTGCCCCCGGGCTGATGGGGGCGGGGGAGGAAGGGCATTCTACCCAGCCTGTGTCTCACCCCTTCTCCTTGCAGACATCCGAGACAGTGGTGCTAAGCCCGTCATGGTCTACATCCATGGAGGCTCTTACATGGAAGGGACAGGCAACATGATTGATGGCAGCATCCTCGCCAGTTATGGCAATGTCATCGTCATCACCCTCAACTATCGGGTTGGGGTACTAGGTATGGTTCCCTGCAGGTACCTAAAGGGAAGGCTGGCTTCTCAAGGGGCAAGAAAGAATCCTAGGACGTTCAAAATAGGCTACTTGTATTCTCTAGCTGGTGTTAATGACCATAGTAAAAATGTTATCCTACGACCACTACCCAAGTGCTAGAGGCACTTCTTACATCCCCAGGTTCTTTCTTGGAATATTTAGATGCCACTGGAAATCCAATTCAAACTTCAAGCCAAGTCGCCCAGACTTTTTTTTTGCTTGGCTGAGTTTTATAGAGTTCATTAATTTTCTAGTGTCTTATTCTCATCCCTATCCACCCAGCTCCACATTCATAAATACCCCATACAGTGAGTGCCACGTGCCTGTAATCCCAGCTACTTGGAGGCCAAGGCAAAAAGATCCCAAAATCAAGGCCATCTTGGGCAACTTACTGAGACCCTGTCTCAAAATAAAATAAAAATGATTTAAGGATGTAGATCAGTGGTAGAGCACTTGCATAGCATGCACAAGGCTGTGGGTTCAAATCCCCAATACACACACACACACAAGACCCCCACATACATACACAGATATTCCTTCTAGTCCACCCCATGTCTATATAATAATGTACCCTCACACATCTGCCCATACACCCCCTATCCACCCCTGTACATACAGTTATTTCTTACTCATGCCACAAAGTATACATGCATATAGCTTCATATCCACATCCACAGACCTCCTTGTACATAAACACATTCTCCCACCACTCTATGTACATTTCACACATAGTCTCTACCACACACATTTTTTTTTGGAAGACAAGACAGAGTCTCGCTATATAGTTCAAGCTGTCCTTGAACTCACTATGTAGCCCAGGCTGGCCTCAAACTTGTGGCGCCTCCTGCCTCAGCCTCCCAAGTGCTGGAATTACAGGCATGTGCCACCATGCCTGGCTCTACCATATACATTTCTACATACCCACACTATACATTCCACATCCACACAGATTTCTCTCATCTTCCATACACACACATACAATTCTCCTATACTTTCTCCTCACATTTCTGTATTCACATTTACACCCATCTACACCACACATGCCTACATTCACACTTCTGTCTACCCCCATATTTACACTTCACACAAAGACCTACACCCTGCACACCCACACCAAAACTTTATATACTTTTTTAGGGGGTGGTTAAGACAAGGTCTTGCTATGTATCCAGGCTGGCCTTGAACTCACTATGTAGCCCAGGCTGGCCTCAAACTCATGGCAATCCTCCTGCCTCAGCACCACGCTGGGCTAAAAACTCCATATACTTTGTTTTATTTTATTTTTTTGGTACCAGGGATCGAATTCAGGACCTTGTGCTTACGAGATAGGTGCGGTGCCACTGAGCTAAATCCCCGGCCCCCATATACTTTAAATGTACACAAATATTCCTTCCACCACCAACATACACACACTCATGTCCTCCTACATATCCCACTTCTGTTTTTACTCCACACACCCACATGATGCACACATATACAGATCTGACCGTCACCTTCCCCATGTAAGCACAAACCAATATTCTGCTCCACATGCATATACCCTTACCTATATGTCTGTATGGTCCCCCCATATTCACAAATACTACACACACATACAAACACCATATTTCTGCTTCCACTTCTACATACATCCCATCTACTACAATAATATATTCCCCCACATATATAAACATCCATAGACCCTACACAAATGCACACATACATGTGTGCATATACACCCTCTTCCCATACATACCCTGCATATATATACCCAGTACACACACGTACTTATTCCCTCACCCCACAAGTACATACACATCCATGTACCTAGAACTACATCTACACACACATACATGTGCGCATGCGTGCGCCCATGCCCCTCTACCCACCTAACCATATTCTTGCTTCCTCCTATATTTACATGTCCCATATATACACACATACACATTCCTTCTATTCTCTCCACACATATATCCCCATTCATTCCCACTTCATTATATATGCATACTCCTGTGCATACACACTTCCCAAATACCTTGTTTGTTTTTAAGACAGGGTCTCACTATGTAGTCCAGGCTAGCTAAGATTTTAGGCATGTGCCACCACTCCTGGCTTCCAAATGTTTTTTTTCAGACACTCCCATAACCGCCCCCCGCCCCGCCCCGCACGCTCTACTATGCACATGCTTGTTAAAGTGATTTAGGCTGTCTCTCTACCCTGTACCTTCCTTGATGACCACAAGTGCCTTATTTGTGGCCAAGGTCTTAGGTTAACAAGTGCTTCAGAGAAAGCATACATAGCCTTGCTCTTTTTCATATGCTTACCCAAGCTCCACATCCCTGTACTCACATGAAAAAGCCAACTGCTTATCTAGAGGGTGTGTGTCCTCAGAGTTCTAGTGGGGGTCTAGGATATTTGTAGGCCTGGAAGCTATTAAGCCTGGCTTATTCCACAGCCACTTGGGGAAAATGATCTTATTTTAATTTGCTCTTGACTCTTGCTGTGCCAGTTCCAATCCCAGAGGCCCTGGTGCTACATTTCACTTCTGGATGTGGTTGTATGCACAGAATGGTAATCTCCTGTTGATTTACCCTTATCACTATGTATGATAGGAAGATACTATTTGAGGTTTGGACTGAAAAAATTATATTCCCTGAAAAAAGCAGAGTTTGTGTCTCCTTTGGTGGCTCCTAGGACACCAGGTATGGAGCATACAGGGCACTTCTCAGCCTCTCCACAGTCTGCTGGGCTTTGAATTTCACAGTTCTGCCCCTGCTCCTGTCTCTCTGCATTCCCTCAGATAACCATGGAAAGGCTCTTGTAAGTTCTTTCCTGTTGAGAAAGGGATTGAATGGTGAAAGTGGCTGTAAATGTACACAGTAGGTCTGCACAGTTCCTTAACAGTAATAAATGCACAGACTAAATCACACACAGATATACAGAGACACATGATAGTTGATGGCTGAAAGCAATTTTGCTAATTTATTTTCTTAGAGTTATAGAAAATATCCCATTCAACTGCTTTTACAAATTATAAACACAAAACTCCATTCTATAACATTTACTGGAAATGCACAGAGAATACTAACAATGTGTTTCAGCCCCATATTATCAGACCAGCTGGGAATGGAGGAAGAGAGAATAGAGGAGGGGACAAGAGGAGCAAATAAAGAAAAGAAGAAAAGAACCTGAGAGAGAAAAGAGGATGGGCACAACATGGGAAAAATGAAACAGAGAGGAGGAAGAACAGACACATAGGATTTAAGAAGAGACAGGATTTCGCTAGGATTCAAGGCCTCCAGAGTATCAGTTGAGAGCTGTGGGCTGCACAGAAGGCTAGTGCTGGTGAGCAATCTGTGTGATATTCTACTTGTTGATTACTTCACAACCCTTTGGCTGCTGGATTCCTTAAGCTTCTGTGTCAGAAGTTCTTAACCTTCTGGGGGGTCATGGACTCTTCAGAGATTCTGGTGAAAGGTATAGGCTCTCACCAGTGCATTCACATACTTATAAAAACAATTTCATGTGTCCCCCTGAAGCTCATCCATGAAACTCAGGCTAAAAACTCCCACTTTACAACCTCCTCACATGTGGATAATCAGAACAGCAAATTACTCTTTGGGCTGAAGCAGTTGATGATCCAGTTAATATTACCCCACATTCAGAACTGAGATTTGGACAGAAGTTCCCTATCTCTTCCTGTGTGCCCTGAAGTTCCTGGTCTGAAACATAAATATAATCAATAAGCCAATGATTGCATTCTAGGTACATATAAGATGTTTTTGTCTCTCAACACCAGATGTAGAGCATGATTTGTCCCTGACACTTGGGGATTTTGCTCTGTAATGGAGGCTTTGTTGTTTTGTTTCCCAAAGCATCCCAGAACTGGTGCCAGTACGGAACCCCAGTCACATGCATCCATTTACCCTCCCTCTTTCTCAGCTTCTCCTGAGCCCAAGCAAACAGTTCACTCTAAGGTGCTTCTCTAGACATCTTGGCTGGTTCACCTATGTTGAGCATGTCACAGGCTAATTCATGGATCCCCTTTTAAGTGGGGACTGAGAAGCCCCCACTGGGCTTGGGTCCAATATTCCAGCAGGACATAGGATGTGGATATTCCTGAGGCTGAAGAAGTAGGGGCCTGCTAAGTTTTATTCCAGATTCCAGAATTAATTTGACCCTACCTCCTTCCTCAGGTGCCCTCCAGGCAAACTGAAAATCTGGTAAACATCAAACCTTGAATGACACAAATATCTGGTTTTGATATAATCTGCAAATTCCCTCATCTTCTCTTGACAAGCAGCTTACCATGTACTGCAGTATAAACTTGGGCTCAGGGAGACTGGTTCAGATTTATTCTGGCAGTTGACAGAGTTGGGTATTTCAGCCTCCGTTCTCACATAGTTTCTGGGGATGACTGAGATACTGGGGATGAGCAGCGAGTGACTGCTCTCCCAGACCACCATGTTTTATGTGCTCCTGGTTGGTCATGTTTCACTGCAATTATCTTCCTGAGCCTGTTGGATACAGTGCTTAAAGCAGGACTCTTGTATTAGGGCTCACTGGCATGGCACCATCCACATGCTTCAGTGCCCCTTCTCTGGAGGCTCCCAGGATCAGAGGGAGTAGAAGGGGATGGCTAACCACTTCTCCCAGCCTTTTCAGGCTTTTGTTCCTAACCCAGGACATGGTCCTTGTTGAAGAAACCTACTACATACAACTGCATGCTTTTCCTGGTAATTAAGACAGACATATTTGACACATTTCACTGGCGCCTTGGCAAAGACTGAAGGGAAGTCTTCTATTGCCCAAATGAGAGAAAAGGAAAAGAGAATATGAAAAGAAGAAGGAGAGAGGAGAGAAGAAAACTAATAGACATGCATCGTGATTTTTGCCGGAGGATCTCAATGCTTGGGCAGCTGAACTGGGTCTTGGTCAGCATAGTTAAGACTGGCAACAGCAGGTTCAGTTTCTGAATGGGCCAGATGAAGGAGAAGCTGGTTCCTTTCTCTGGAGTAACAAGGGCTCCTTGGTTCACTCTCATTCAGGTTTTCTTTAATTCTTCCTCTTTTCCTCATCTGGAATCCAGAGCCAGGGAGAACTTGTAACTATGTCCTAGGAGGAATAACTAAGTACTTCCCACACTTAATTGTATCAAAGCTAAATTAATAACACACTTAAAGAAGGTAGGATGAGCTCTTTTGCAGAACTAGGTACGGAGGGATTCAAGAAAAACAGTGATGAGGTCTTTTGCCTGCTTGAGTCTAAATTCTGTCCCTGCTGCATGCACTGCCAGACCACCAGGAAGCTCTTTGTGAACTGAGGACACTTTCTCCAATATGGCCTCGAACCAAGTTGATTCCAGGTGTTGTGAATGAGTCTTTTAACAGTGGAGCCAACAAATACTGACCCAAATGTGTGCTTCTGATGTGTAAGAGCACTGCAATTACCCACCAGTAAAGAACCCTTCCGAAAGCCTAGCCTAGGAGAAGATAGAACTTTCCAAGGAAGCTAAGGACAGGGAAGAGAGGTGAAATAAGTCAGGAAGATCAGTCTAAAATGGAGTGAGGAGGATATAGGAGATCTCTGTGGGATAGCCAGCAGGTGGGCGGGAAAGTAGTCTCCATGACAACAAGTCTCCAAGGCAGCAAATCCCAGCAGGTGGGTGGGAGGTAGTCTCCATGGTGATACATCTCCTCAGCAGCAAATCCCTGTGGGTGGGTGGGAAAACCTGTTTCTGCAGTTACAAGGTTACACTCAACACTGACTTCATTTCTCCACCAGTTGAAAAAGATGGTCTAACCCACTGGCATCTCAACTTTTGCAAACACCAGCATTACCTGGAAAGCTTGTTAAAAATACAGATTGCTGGGCCCCACTCCCAGAGTTTCTGATTCATTAGACTTTGGAGGAAGGGAAATGAGGACCCCTTCTGAGAATGGGGGTAAAAGGGCCATCTAAGGCCCAGAAAAGAAGTGGAGTGGAGATGGACGAATTTGTACAGGAAAGGCAAAGAGAGCTTAGGGGATTGCTGCCTTTGGCGATCTTCACTTCAGAGCGAGAAGGACAGAGAAATAAGTAACTGTAGATCTGCAATCTGCTGGGCGTGTGCTCATTTTATCCTCGCTAAAACAGTATGAGGTATTTTTATCCCTATTTTATGGAAGAGGAAACTATGACCCAGAGATTTTGAATATCTTGCCCAAGACCACAAGGCTAGGATGTGACAGAGCCATGATTCTAACCAAGGACTTTCTGACTTTAAGATCCCTTCTCTTTCCACAGATGTTAAGATCATGTCCATGGATAGTAGAATGTCAGAGCAGAGGATGCTAAGTTATGACCATTAGCAGTTTCTGCAGTTTAACACTCCTCCCTGGAGGAGGCAGCCACTTGTAATGATCTGGAGATCTCTCCTTCCAAACTGGGTAATGAGTGGGAGGCGAGAAGCCAACCCTTCCTATTTTGGTGGTCCTGGACCTTGCAGAAAGGAGCAGTGGTTTATGTTAGCAAGGTGGGAAGACTGTGCGGCCCGGCCCGTAGCTATCCTGCTGGGTGTGGTGGTACAAGCCTATAATCCCTGTAATCCTAGTACTAAGGAGGCTGAGGAAGGAGGATTGCCATGAGTTTGAGGCCGCCTGGGGTACATAGCAAGTTCAAGGCCCTCCTGAACTACAAAGTGAGACCTTGTCTCAAAAAACCAAAAAAGATAAAAGAAAGAAAGGAAACTGCTGTCTGTCATCCTAACCCAAACCCTTCATTCTTCTGCCTTCACTATCCTCATGCCCTTTGTTGAATCTAGGTTTCCTGAGCACTGGAGATCAGGCTGCCAAAGGAAACTATGGACTTCTTGACCAAATCCAGGCCCTCCGCTGGGTGAGTGAGAATATTGCCTTCTTTGGAGGAGACCCTCGCCGTATTACCGTCTTTGGCTCAGGCATCGGCGCATCCTGTGTCAGCCTCCTCACACTGTCACATCACTCTGAGGGTGAGTAGCTCTTGGGGCAAAACACAGACTAGCCAAATGCTGGCTGTCCAGCCTTCCAAATTCCAGGATGCCCAACTCCATGCCCTAAAAGCAACTAGGGGAATCAGTTCCACCCCCTCCCCCAGGGAGACATGGAAAGAAAATGGTTCTCTGGGGGAAGCAGCACTTCTAATGTGAGAGAAGGAAGGAGAGAATCCCATGTACATCTTGAGAGAGCAAGATACTCCTTCTGACATGGTAGCTTCGTTTGGGACCAGTGGTGGCAAACCTATGGCACACATGCCTGTTTGCTATCATTGAAAGCTCTAAAAGGTTCACCATCACTGGTTTGGGACACTGTGCATAGCATGCCTCTCTCTGAAGGAATAATGGTTCTTTGTGGGCAGGGGAAATCTTTTAGTATGAGAAGGACATGTTACTTCGGAGTTGAGATCTAAGGTGGAAATTAGTTTTTAGGTGTAAGAAACACTCATTGTCTGCCTTTCTCTCCGAAGAACAAGTCTGTACAAGAGGAGGAATGTTCTTGAACAGGAGGTGGTTCTGAAGTGAGAATCCCTGGCCTGTGAGATGGGCTTCTTCTGAGGAACTACAGCCTGTTCTGTGCTGTACAACACCCCCAAGGGAGACTCATTTTTAGCCTCTCTCCTGGTGGTGGATCCCTCGGCCAGTGATCCTTCCAAGGGGCTGAATAGGCCCTTTTTCACTTGACTGGGATGGTTCTCTCCATCTCAAAACTACAGAGAACGTTCTATCTCTGAGAAGCAAAGTTGAGCTTCTTGTGAAGAAAAGATCTCCCTGAAATACATGCCCATTGCTGAAGTAAGGAAATCTCTGAGAGAAGACACATTTTTTTCTTTGAAATCAACCCCATGAGTCAGTGATATTCTCACAGAAGACTTGCAGGCTGTCTTTGAAGAAGACATGTCTCTCTCTGAGAGAGAAGAGTCACCTTCTCTGACTTAGAACTTCTGTCTACTCCTCCAGAGACTGCTCTGGTGAGGGAAGATTAAGATCTGCATCTATAAAGAAAGAGAGGGGGGACTGGGGGATAGGTCAGTGGTAGACCTGACTGGCATGCGCAAGATTCTGGTTTTGATTCCTAGCACCACACAGAAAAAGAAAGAAAAGAAAAGAGAGAGAAATAAAGATTTGTCCTCTTTGCCTTTCTGAAATTCTCTCATGGAGAATAATCTCTGGAAAAATGAGGCTCTCTTCAGTAGTAATCTGTTTCTCTCTCTCTTCTACCTATGCAAACTGCCTTTCTGTTAGAGGAATGGAATCATGTGCCTGAGGCCAAATTTCCAAAATTCCTTGGAAATGTGTGACCAGGGAGAGAATGCCACCCTTTTTTTTTTTCCTAGAGGGGAAAGAATCATCTTCTTTCTGAGTCTGGGAGACTGATTCCCTCTTGGGCAGGGGGAAATCTGGATGTGAAGCATCAGTAGCTTCAGCAAAAGGAAAGTCTCTGCTGAGACTACAGACTGAGAGGGCACGTGCCCAGGCTTTCAGACCCCAAGGCCTTTGCCCTTGGGATCCTTCCCCAAACCCCCAGAATGTAAGGCTCTCCCCTGCCTGCATTTCTCATCTCTCATTTTAAAAAAAGACCCCTTTGTGGTGTGAGCACCAGCTCCCTGGTGGTGCGCTGGCACAGAGCTGGGCCCAGCTGGGCAGGAAGCAAGAGGAGGAGGATAAAGACAGGGGAGGATAAGGAAGCTGATGTCTGGGACCCAAGAGGTTAATTCTCCCTGGCATTTCCTTAACCCCCAAGTTACCAACCATTGCACCAGGACAGGCAAGCAATGGAGGAATCATGCAGAGGCTTAGTCAGGGATGGGGGTCAGTAATCCCTTCTCTGTTCCTAATCTGTCACCCTGTCAGAAGAGTCATTTCTCCTTCCTAGCCCATTCAAACCTTAGGGCAGCCTCTGTGACAAAGGAATAAGGTGTTTAATGGCCTGTGTCACATGATAGATCTGACCTGATGCCACCTATCTTCTGTAGGGCTTTTCCAGAGGGCCATCATCCAGAGTGGCTCTGCTCTGTCCAGCTGGGCTGTGAACTACCAACCAGTAAAGTACACCAGCCTTCTGGCAGACAAAGTGGGCTGTAACGTGCTGGATACTGTGGATATGGTGGACTGTCTTCGGCAAAAGAGTGCCAAGGAACTAGTAGAGCAGGACATCCAGCCAGCCCGCTACCACGTGGCCTTTGGGCCTGTGATCGATGGTGATGTCATTCCTGATGACCCTGAGATCCTCATGGAACAGGGCGAGTTCCTCAACTATGACATCATGCTAGGTGTCAACCAGGGTGAGGGTCTCAAGTTTGTGGAAGGGGTGGTAGACCCTGAGGATGGTGTCTCTGGCACAGATTTTGACTATTCTGTCTCTAACTTTGTGGACAATCTGTATGGCTATCCGGAGGGTAAAGACACCCTGCGAGAAACCATCAAGTTCATGTACACAGACTGGGCAGACCGTGACAACCCCGAGACCCGTCGTAAAACACTAGTGGCACTCTTCACTGACCACCAGTGGGTGGAGCCCTCAGTGGTGACAGCTGATCTACATGCCCGTTATGGTTCACCTACTTATTTCTACGCCTTCTACCATCACTGCCAGAGCCTCATGAAGCCTGCCTGGTCAGATGCAGCTCATGGGGATGAAGTACCCTATGTTTTTGGTGTCCCTATGGTAGGTCCCACTGACCTTTTCCCCTGCAACTTCTCCAAGAATGATGTTATGCTCAGCGCTGTCGTCATGACCTATTGGACCAACTTTGCCAAGACTGGGTAAGGAGAAAATGGGTTTCTTTTCTTCTTTGGGATCCCAGCATGTCCTCCCCTCCACTCCCATATCTAACTTCTTCCTTCCCACCATATTCCCCAAATATGGCTGGTTAATCCCTTCATCCCCTCCCTGCCTCCTCTTTTTTTCTGGTACTGGGGATCCAACTCAGGTCCTTGTGTTTGCCAGGCAGGCACAGTGCCACTGAGCTAAATCCCTAGCCCCAACCCTGCCTCCTCTTTTTGAGATTTTATGCCATTCCTTCAAAAATTTTGTTGAGCTGGGCATGGTGACACACTCCTGTAATCCTAGCACTTTGGGAGGCTGAGATAGGAGAATCACAAGTTCCAGCCAAGCCTAAGCAACTTAGTGACTTTGTGAGACTTTGTCTCAAAATTTAAAAGTATAAAAAAGGGATGCACATGTAGTTCACAGCAAATGCCCTGAGTTCAATTCTCAGTACCACAAAATGTTTGTTGTTGTTGAAAGGCTTGGAAGTAGAGGTGGTAGCTCAATTGTAGAGCACTTGCTTAACATGCCCAAGGCTCTGTGTCACATTCCCAGCACCACAAAAGAATAACTGTGTTGAAGCAAAGAACTCCCTTAGCATCAGGACTTAGTAAGGGTGTAAGTTACTAACAGAACTGTGGAATTCAAGGTTAGCTGGTCAGAGGCTAAGTAAAATGGGAATAAAATACATTTCAGAAAAAGTCTCTAGAGGGCTTTTGGCAAAATTGGGCAGCTGAAAAGACTGATAGATGTATCTGGGTGTGGAAGCTCCTGTCTGTAATCCTAGCATGCTGCAAGACTGAGGCAGGAAGAGCCCAAGTTCCAGCCCAGCCTGGATAATTTAGAAACTTAGCAAGACCCTGTCTCAAAATAAAAATTAAAAGGGGCTGGGGATGTAGCTCAGTGTGTAGGCACTGGGTTCAAGCCCCACTACAAGAAAAAAAAAAACACTGATATATGCTCAGTAGCATGGGAGAAGACAAAGCATCAATAGCCTGATCCTAGTGGATAAGCATAGAGAAGATGGATGTGGTTTCCATGATGCCCATAGTGGAGACGAGGAGTTCCAGCCCTGGGGAAAAAGGGGTCTGTGGACAAAGGGAGGAACCCTGAAAAATATGGAAATGTTGGGAAGCTTTGGACTCAGGAAGAGGTTAAGGGTAGGTGTGAGAGGAAAGTGGCTGGGTCTTTCTTTTATCTAGGTAGAGTGGTGACCCCAGATTTCCATGTGGTATTTCAGGGATCCTAACAAGCCAGTTCCCCAGGACACCAAGTTCATTCACACGAAGGCCAACCGCTTTGAGGAAGTAGCCTGGTCCAAGTACAATCCCCGAGACCAGCTCTACCTTCACATCGGGCTGAAACCAAGGGTCCGCGATCATTATCGAGCCACTAAAGTGGCCTTTTGGAAACACCTGGTGCCCCACCTGTACAACTTGCACGACATGTTCCACTACACATCCACGACCACCAAAGTGCCGCCCCCAGATACCACCCACAGCTCCCACATCACCCGCAGGCCCAACGGCAAGACCTGGAGCACCAAGCGGCCAGCCATCTCCCCTGCCCACAGCAACGAGAATGCCCAGGGGTCCTGGAATGGGGACCAGGATGCAGGGCCTCTCCTGGTAGAGAACCCTCGTGACTACTCCACTGAATTAAGTGTCACCATCGCTGTGGGGGCCTCCCTCTTGTTCCTCAACGTTCTGGCCTTTGCTGCCCTCTACTATCGCAAGGACAAACGGCGCCAGGAGCCCCTGCGGCAGCCTAGCCCCCAGAGGGGAGCTGGGGCCCCTGAATTGGGAGCTGCTCCTGAGGAGGAGCTGGCAGCATTACAGCTGGGCCCCACTCACCATGAGTGTGAGGCTGGTCCCCCCCACGACACACTGCGCCTCACTGCACTGCCTGACTATACCCTGACCCTGCGGCGCTCCCCTGATGATATCCCACTCATGACCCCCAACACCATCACTATGATTCCCAACTCCCTGGTGCAGACATTGCACCCCTACAACACCTTTGCCGCAGGGTTCAACAGTACCGGGCTGCCCCACTCACATTCCACCACCCGGGTATAGCTCCAGCCCAGAGCACAGCTTACCTCCCGGCCCTCTCCCTCCCAAACCCACACACCACACACACACACACACACACACACACACACACACACACACACAGACACACACACACACACACACACACAGACATATATATATATGGGCACTCATCCATACCCTGCAGCAGACCCATCTGCACAAGCATAGACAGATGTGGACATGCACCTGCATGTACAAAAACACCAACACGAAGGTAAACCTGAACAAATCCTTCAGATGGGGACACAGATGAGTCCTTGGCAAACTGAGGACCCATGGAATAGCAGCGGAAGCCAGCTCCCCTGAGCCTGAACACAGACACTCCTGGGGGCCTGAAAGCAAGACTTGGACACCCCCTTGGTGCTCGCCTTCGGCCTTTCTTGGAACTACACCACCGACCAACTCCAGACTTGGGAGCTTTAAAGAGCAAAGTAGCTCTTCCTCCCCAGACTTAGTCTTTTTTCTGGGTCTTGTTTTTGTTGATTTTTTTTTTTAATTTTGGAACAAATGCTTTTGCAACCCATGAGTGCTAGGAAGCTCTGGAAGAGAGGGCTCCAGACCCAGTTCTCTCTGGTTCTGGAATCCCCAGTGCTCACATAATCAGACCAAGGGATAGAACCCCATGAAAGTAATGGACTCGTACAAGACTGTGGGGTGAACAGAGGAAGGGGCTAAAGATGGATGGGGCCAGAGGGCCGTCAAGAAGAGATCTCCAACCTTTTCCGCGTCCCTGTGGAGGGCTGCAGAGCCTGCAGGATGACCTGCTTCCCTCAAAGGCCAGCAGCATTAGCCTGGGTAGACCAGGGGACCCTAGTTTTGGTGTACAAGTACTGTAGAGCTCATGCCATTATTGGGTTCCCCAGGTATATAACCTGGGTTCTGCCTCTGCCCCTAGGGAAATGCTACCAGATATTCACCCCATTTTCTTTATAGTCTCTTTTGTGTCTGTCATTTCTCTTTCAAAAACGCAGTGTTTTTTGTTGTTATTGTTGTTGTTGGCTTTTTTTTTTTCTAAGAAAAGTTCTTAAAACACTAACGGAAACCCATGGAGTTTGTCCTTTGTAAGAATTTTTTAAAAAGTGTCTTGATATAAAAATAAAAAATCCAGTTAGCACTTGCAACCTGCCTCGCTTGCACAGGCCTTGCCCCAACAGCCCTCAGAGCAGGGCACCTTTGTGGACTAGGAATCCAGCAATCAGGCAGCTTCTGTGCCTCCCCTCCTGGGCTGCACTCTGTTGCCCTTGGCAAGGCCTCTCCAGTCAGGTTGCTGTCCCCATCCCCCTGCCCTCCCTCCCAGCGCTCTCAGCTCCTGCAGCTGAAGCCTCCTCTCAGCACCTCTGGCCTAATGAAACAAGAAAAATAATACTTCCTTCCTCTTGTACTGCCGCTGCTACTGCCTCCTCCCCCACCTTTCTCCACTGCCACCACCACCATCACCACCACCCTGCTCTCATCTTGGACTGGGGGTTGGGAGGAGGCGTGACCTCTAACATGCTGAAGTTCTTTCTCATATCTAAATCCAGTGCAGCATTAGCCATGTGGGTCCCTGGCCTTAGGTGACAGATAGAGCAGGGCCCTCTTCTTCCCCTGGGACACTTGTTTCCTGTTCTGTCAATTCAAATTGGAGTGGTCAAGAGGGCCCTGGGAGTGATTTCTCTCCAGGACTGTGATCTGTGGCTCCCTGACAACTATGGGAGACAGATTCAGTGGGGCTCCCCAGGGTTAGCATTATGGAATTTCCTGTTATTCTCAGTGTCTGTAAGGACTGAACAGGGAGTCTGCTCATCAAGTACGACAGTTGCACAGGGGCTCTGCTACCTCAGAAACCAGGGATAATATTCTTCAGAGTGACCCTGACAAAATGAGGGAGATGAATCATCACAACCAAGACAATGTTCAGAGGAGATGAACATGTGGTAGTATGTACAAAAACCAAAACTCAGAACTAATATATTAATATGGCACATGGGACAAGACAAATGGGCAGTGATTGACTTGACACATATATAGTTAAATAAAGAACTGGGTGCACAAGTTGAATGAGTCCACAGTTTTAGAACAGGTTTCCTCTCTCTTCCCTCCCTCCCTTCTTTCTTTTATTCTTTCCAAAACTAATATGGATACTAGTGTATAGTAACAAAAACATAGAGGAGTTGAGAAGTATCAGAATGTGAGTGTACGAACTAGAAGTAACCCCAGTCATCTAACCCAACCCACTTACTGTGAAGTTGGGGAAATGGGCCCATTACTGTTAGTGTTTAGAAACAGGCCTAGAATACAGCCTAGTAATGTATGGTCCTTCTCACAGCCCTACTCAGCATGTTCCACTCTACCTGCCACTGGTTATGACTTGGTTATGAGCAACAAACACCTTTAATACATGTGGAAAAGTGGAGAGGATGTGAAGAGCAAAAGCAATGTGTCAAAGGACTGGGTGTTGGGGTTTTCTTTTTTTAATTTAGAAAGAAGGAAGCTGGCTGGGGATTTAGCTCAGTGGTTTTGCCGTCTGCTATGCAAGCATAAGGACCTGAGTTCAATCCCCAGTGCCAAAAAAAAAAAAAAAAGAAAGAAGGAAGCTGACGAGGTAGCATTCAATTGTGGAACACCTACTATATGACAAGTATGCTAATACCATCTTCAAAATGTGACTCCTAAATCAGGACAGAGTTGAGTTCTCTCATGACCTATGTTCTCCATTTCTTCTGAGAATGATAGGGGGGAAATGAGGTTGAGTGAAACCCAGGGATAGATTTTGCTATTGATAGGAGTGAGCATGGGCACCTAGTATGTCCTCAATAACATTTGCCAAGTGGAATGAATGGCTGCTAAGGAAAGCCCTAGTATCCTTCATTCTCCTGAAAGCAGAGGGCTGGATTATATCACCTTTTGAGCTCAATTCAGTCTTATTATGTTCTAATGTTCAATTGCTCCATTTCAGATCTTTCCAATCTGGGCCTCCCATTCTGAGATGAGTATGTATATCTCCAAATCAGGAGTCTCCCTATTTTGGGGAGATTTAGTCTCCCTTTTTTGGTTTTTTTGTTTTTTGAAACAAGGTCTCACAATGTAGTTCAGACTGGTCTTGAACTCATCTTGTAGCCCAGGCTGGCCTCAAACTCACAGCAATCCTCCTGCCTCAGCCTCCCAAGTGCCAAGATTATAGGCATGCATCACCATACACCTCTTAGTCTCTCTTCTTAAAACTCAAGGTTCCATAACAAACCCACCTCAAATTACAGGCCTATTGGGGACCAATCGGTAACAGTACAGTTGGTCTTCACACCTTTGGGAGGCCTGGGTGGAAGAGGCAACCACCAAAATCAAGATTTCAATCTAATTTTGTGCCTATAGCTTGAGGTTCTTGGCCCCAGTGCTGACTACCAGCCCTGAGCCCAGCTAAAAAATAGCCCAGCTTTTTATATGAAGAGAAGCTGAGGATGTATTTGGATTTTATCCCACATTGCAAAGGTCATTAGTGCCTAGATTAGGTCTATCTCACATCCCTCAGTTTATGTTTTCTATTTTAGTCCTTTAGTGAACCAGACATAGCTATCTTGGAATCTGAATTTTTGGTTGTGTGTGTGTGTGTGTGTGTGTGTGTGTGTGTGTGTGTGTGAAGGCTAGAAGTTGGTCACTGAGGAAATCTTTACAGAAGTATGGTTACCAGGCCAGGAGGCCTGGCCTTTACTGGTTTAATTATACTATGTAGAATGGAACACACCCACTTTGATGTGCATATTGTAAGAAAGACAAAACCGAACCATGATAAAATAAATGAAATGTATAATCTAGTATGCTACTTCAATGTACAGTAAAGGTTAAAAGGACTAGAGAAATTGTAAGAAAGGCTATAGCTGTGGGTGGGTGTGTGAGTGGAGGTAGTGGGCAGACTGAGAGTTCCAGACTGAGAAACTCTGCCAAAGCATGGAGGGCAGGAGGTCTAGGCATGCTTGAGGAGCAGTGAGGGGACTGCCCTGACCAAAGGAGAGGGTTCAAGTGGGAAACCATATTGGCAAGGTGGTCTGTGCAGGTCTTCATAACCCCTGAAGGGCTTGGGTATTATTGAATGAATGATGCCTGCTAATAGTTTTACAGTGAGAAAAAAAAAACCTTCTCAGCTTTGCTTTTGCTACTTCTCTATGCTCCTAAACAGTCTTGTGCCAGAGAGCCTTCAGCTGCTCTGAGAGACACCATTTCATGGTCTGGTCAATAACAGCCCAGAGTAGTTGTGAGGACTTGAAGTTCAGTTGCAGGACAACTGATGGTGGCTTCAAAAACTACACAAAGAACGGAAAATTATGTGTGCTGCAGCCTGGAGATTGACAAACATGGCCCCACCGTTTAACAGATGTGAAAAGGTGAATGCCACAAATTATAGATCAATAAATGTGATACTGATCAAGGGCAAGATTCTTGGAGAAATGATTAGAAGGATGATTGGTGAGCACTTACAAAAGGAAGTGAAGATTGCTCAGCCCCTGCATTGATTCAGGAAAAACAAATCACTTACTCCCAGTTCAACTCATTTCTTTTGGTAGGGAGAATGGACAGGTAGATGAGGGGAATGTTACACTCATAGCGTTTGGAGTTTGACAAAACATTCTCTTATTAATCTTGGGACAATACGGAGAAAATGTGGGGTGGGTAAAGAGAAACTTAGGCAGACTCTTAACTGGTTAAGTGACTGACTACGCACAAAAGGATTCTGTTTTAATGTCACCAGGTCAGATTTACAAATTTCACAATGCTGGTAAATTCCCTTATTTTGATTCCAAAATGTAACAGTACACATGTAGGATGTGAGAGAGTAGCCTATAAGGTTTTAGAGTAAATGAAAGTTCATCGTGAGTTATAAGTTGCTGCAAAAGGACCACATTAACTGTAACCGTGAACTGTATTAATAAGAGGGTATCATTCAGAAGAAAGGATGTGACCGTCTGTGCTGCTCTGCACCAGTCAGCCTACAGCTGCTGCCTCTGTTCAATTATGGGCCCCAGACTTCAAGAGATGATGACAAAGGCATATCCAGAGAAGAATGGTGAGAATAGTGAAAAGACTGGAGAATCCTAGGAGAAATTTGTCTACTGTTGCCAAATCAGTACTGGCCCCATGGGGAAGAGGAAGATATAGATTTGTTCTGTGTGATTCCAAAGGCTTTGAGATCTAATGGAAGTTATAGGAAAACAGATTTAGGTTCAATGTAAGGAAGTTGCTCTTTTCCCTTTCTTTTTTATAATGAAAAATTGTAATAAAAGTTTCAGCTCATGATTCCAGCCTCTTGAATTCCTTTAAAACTTATTACCAACAGTTTCAAAAACAGAGGGGAAAATGTCCTATGGCTAGGGGTGTAGCTCAGTTGGGAGAGTGCTGGCCTAGTATTCGTGAGGCCCCTGGGTTCAACACCACCACGGCAGAAAATGACCAAAAAATGCCCCAAGCCCAACATACTAACATAGGCATTTTACTGTGTTTAGAAAGAACTTTCAAAATATGACTGGCATTCTGCAATTACAGTGGACTGCCCCCACTCTATCGCTAGAGATGGTCAAGTAGTGATTGGACTACCACTTTTATGTGGGTGATACCAGGTGATGGAAGCGTCTGATAAAGACCTGAACCAGGTGACTTCTAGGATTACTGAGATTCTGATACTGGTGTGGGAAGATCTTAGTGGTAAAGTACTCGGGAAAATATTTCTGGAGCAGAGGTGGGGGGGTGGAGGAGGAGCGATTGGAAGCAGAGATAACTTGTTAAGATATACCTGCTCTGAGGGCTACAACTATTTTCACCACCATTCCTCCTCACCTGAATTTCAAAATTATAGTGTCAGAAGCAGCCTTACTGTTTGCCTAGTTTCCCACCCTTATATCTGATGCTGGATTCCCTTGTGCAACCTCTTTGTTACATAGTTATCTTGCCTCTGCTTGAATGCCTCCAGTGACGGGAAGATCTCGTCCTCTCAAGCATACTGGATCATCTCAAGCCATTATGAAGTTTCTCCTTCAGTTGAGTCAAAATCAGTTTTCCCATAGCACCCACCCTTTGCTCCTGATGATGCTCTCTTTCAAAGCAAAACAAGATGAATCCTTCTATATATTTGAAAACTGGATCCCAATCCACCACCTATGCATTCCCTCTCTAGATTAAACAGCTCTAGTGCTGGGGATTTAGCTTGGTGGTTCTGCCGCCTGCCTTGCAACTGCAAGGTCCGGAGTTCAATCCCAGGTATAAAAAAAAAAATAGATTAAACAGCTCCAGTAGTTTGTATATGATGATTTTTAACTCTTCCCACATTCCTGGTCTCTCTGTACTTGCTCTGGGTTGCTAATGTCCGTTTGCATCTGGTGTTCGAAGCTAAAGAAAATCTTCCATTGTGGCCTAATGAGAGGAACAGAAGGCAGAACCAGAATCTCCCTCACTTTAGACCTGAATGCATTAGATTTGGGGCAGCTGGTGTCAAAAGTAATAAGCTCACGGGCTGGGGATTTAGCTCAGTGGCACCGCACCTGTCTCGAAAGCACAAGGTCCTGAGATCGATCCCTGGTACCAAAAAAAAGAAAAGAAAAGAAAGAAAAAAAGTAATAAGCTCACAGTCACCTTAAACACCTGTGACCTAGTCACACAGATTGTCAGGACGGCCCATCTTTTCTACCTAGCGCTTAAGCATTTGGCTTTAACAAACTCACCTCTGAAAGTTTACATATCATTTTCTTTGTTCATTATAGCATCTTGGGATCTTTCTGAAGCCAGCTTCATGCCATTTATGTTCTCATTAAGTCATTAATTAAGTTATTGGATGGGCCAAGGACCACCCCCAGGCTGACAAAGATCCATTAGTCACCAGCTGTGAATACACCTTACTGTCCTGTCTTCACCCTGTATCGTTCCCTCCTAGCCACAAGGACACCTCACACCAGACATTCTTAAAATAAAACTGCATTCTGAAATCCTTTTTGGAAACAGCAGTGGGGAGCAGAAGGGAGCAGGAATGAAAAGGAGTCTGGCCTTTAGTTCTCCCTCCTCCCCAGTCCCTAAGATGAGCCCTCAAGGTTTCAGTCTCTAAGAAGGAATGTCCGGACCGCACCTCAGGTGTTGGAAGTTGAATGAACCTGCATTCAGATCTATCTCTGCCTCTTCATAGCTCTAGGTCCCTGGGCAAGTTGCTTAACTTGTTTGAGTCTGTTTATCTGTAAAATAGGGGTGATAACACCTACCTCACAGGATTATTGGGATTAAATGAAAAAGTATATGTGAATGTGCTTTGTAAACTGTAAGTGATATATAAATGTAAGATATTATTGTGATGGTTTATTGAACATTTGCTGTGCTCATCAGAAAACAGTATAAAAAGATAAATAAGCCAGGGCCCGGGATTTAGCTCAGTGGTTTCACTGCCTGCTGAGCAAGCACAAGGACCTGAGTTCGATCCCCGGTACCAAAAGAAAACAAAAAAAAAAGATAAATAAGCCAGGCATGGTGGCATAACCCCAGGACCCTGGGAGGCTGAGGTAGGAGGATCCCAAGTTCAATCCCAGCTTGGATAATTTAGCAACTTAGTGAGACCTTGCTTCAGAACTTTAAAAAAGGCTGGGGATGTAACTCAGTGCAAAGGCCGTGGGTACTCAATCCCCTGGATACCTGAGGACTCAATCCCCAGTACCAAAAAAAGTACAAAAAAAAAGAAAGAAAGAAGAAATGGTGCTTGGCTGTAATCCCAGCACTTGAGGGAGGCTGAGGCAGGAGAATCACTGTGAGTTTGAGGCCAGCCTGAGCTACACAGTGAGTTCAAGCCCAACCTGAACTACATAGTGAGACCCTGTCTCAAAAAAAAAAAAAAAAAAAAAGGTCTTTGGCCTCGGGGAGCTCAAAATTTTGTAGGGGAAATATGTTCACAAATAACCATAATATAACAGGGCAAACAATACATGTTGTTATGGTCATTCAGAAGAAGGGATGGCCCTCAGACTGGGGGACACCAAAAGAGCTTCATGGAGTCTGATCTGTGCCCCCAACATATGTGACAATTTTAACAAATAGAAATGGCTCAGGGAAGATGGCATTCCAGGTAGAGGATTCTAGGAATGGGAATTTATGAAGCATGTCTGAGGGCTGGCAGTAGCCACATCTCACTGGAAGAGGCAGTGAGGCTGGCTGGCCACATCACATCTTTAGACAAGGGTGTTTCCGGCATGCCTGTGATAGAGCAGTCAGCCCTTCCAAGGGTCACCCGAATTTGAACAGAATCTCCTAAGTCTCCTGTCTGGGATTATTACTATTATTATTATTTATTTTATTGTACTGGGGATCGAACTCAGGACCTTGCACTTTCGAGGCAGGCACTGTGCCTCTGAGCTAAATCCCCGGTCCGCCTGTCTGGGATTATTCAAATGATTGCCTTGAAGAAAAACAAATCTCCTTTGAGGATGGAAGTATCTAGAAAGACTCTGGGAAAACTATCTTTGTCTTTTTCTAAAGCTGAGAAATAGGTCTCTGGGAAAGTCAGGGTCTAAGGCCATATTTAAATCCTAGGAATCTGCAGCTGGAAGTGGCTCTGGATTAAGGATTTAAGAGTCTTAATTGAAGGAGTGTTATCCACCATATCTGAAAGGCTTATTCTTCAATTCCATGAAGGGACAGGGGAGGGGAGGAAAATGGTTCAAGGGCTCTCAAGGTCCATTTCCAGATGGGTTTCTTTGGGGCTACGGTTATGATTTGGCGCCACCTGGTGTCCGAGATAGAATATAGCAGACATCTTTCCCAGCTTCCTAAACTTGGAGCTTTGTACCGCCTCCCAGCACCCAGGGATGGGACTAACTTCCTTCCAGTAGGGTAGAGCCAGCTGTTGAGAGGCCTTCTGAGGTCTATGTAATGGAAAAGAAAAGGGAGAGAGGGAAAGTGCTGCTCCAGACCTCATGGCATTCTTTCCTCTGCTGTCAAGGTTCCTACTTTCCCCCAGAGTACTACAGCATTAGTTTTGCCATACTCCCACCGTCACATGCGTTCTTTTGCCATACCTTGAGTAACAAGTGATACAAGATCTTACTCTCTGATTTATTGATTTATTTAGCAGTGCTGAGGATGGAACCCAGGCCCCCGCACAAGCTTCAATATTTCATGGTTTCTTTTATACAAGAAACCCAAATTATAAGTAAAGAGCAAAATAAAAAATAATAGGAAGTAGGGCCAGGTGTGGTGGCACACATCTGTAATCCCAACAGTCAGGAGGCTGAGGCAAGATGATTGCGGTGAGTTTGAGGTCAGTCTGGGCTACATAGAAAGACCCTGTCTGAAAAACAAAACAAAACAAAATGATAGGAAGTAAGGTGATAGATCTTTCTCAAATGAGGAGATCAAGAAATAGAGGGAATCAGGCATGGTGGCATATGCCTGTAATCCCAGCACTTGGGAGGCTGATACAGGAAGATTACCTCAAGTCCAAGGCCAGCCTGGGCTACATAGTGAGTTCAAGGATAGCCTGAACTACACAGCGAGACCCTGTCTCAAAAAAAAAAAAAAAGATGAATAAATCTAAAACTGGAGAAGCTGGGCATGGTGGTGCACACTTGTGATTCCCTCAGAAGGCTGAGGCAGGCAGATCCTGAGTTCAAAATCAGCCTGGGCAACACACTGAGACCTTGTCTCAAAAAACAAAATAAAATAAAACAACAAAAACTGGAGTGGTCTGATGATGCCTCCTAATGGGATATTACTAGAGGGTACATTGAGGGGATGGCTTGAAAAGGTTAATCTCTCTCCCATACTGTATTCCTAGGCACTGTTGAAGTCTGAGTTGCTGTGTCCCACCCTCCCAGACACAGGCTTTTTAGCTCTTTGGAGTGTGTGTGAACCACAGGGCAGCTCTGCAGCTCTCAGGTTGGAGTACTAGTTGCAGGGGAGCACAAAAGTGACAGAAGAGTAAAAGAAAGCAATCATCAACTAGATTAGATTGCTTCAATTCTAGGATTACTACCTTTATATACCCCTCCTCTTCCCTGGTCCCTACATAAAGGGGTGCAGGGTAGAACCCTCCTAACTATACTGGCCAACTAGTGAACAAATTCCTGTTTATCCTTTAAGTAACAGAAAGTTAAAATTTTTCAAAAGTAACATTTGCAAGGAAACCAATGGGTAGGATAGTAACAAAAGAACAGGAAAACAAATGAGTTTATGAAGCTCACATTTCTTATCCTGAGTCAACCAAAGTTTAGATTTGTTTTGTTGTTGTTGTTTGTTTGTTTTCTGGTACCAGGAACTGAACTCAGGACCAGGCAGGCACAGTGCCACTGAGCTAAATCCCCCGCCCCAAACCAAAGTTTAGCCTTGAGGAACTTATATGATACAATGTGACTGGTATCTAACCAAGCCCTTTTTTCGCCAAGACAGCCTTTCCAAACTGATGAGAGGTCAGTCATTAGAGCAGGCTATCTAGAACCAAGCCTGGTATAGATCTTTGGAGATTCACAGTGCCTAGCAGAATTAGGTTCCCTCATGGTTCTCCAGGGCTGATATTATAGACAGCTAATTTAGATAGAAATATTATATGCAGTCAGACAGGGCTAGGCTCTGAAGAAGTCAGTGCAGAAGATAAGAAAACATTACAGCTGTGGCTGGAGGCCTCAAAATAAAGATAGGATGACTACACCTACATACCTCCCTGAGGGACAAACAATAATGATCGATTTTCTAACTGGGCATCAGTCACCTAGGGTGGGGGACCAAGACCTCTTGACCCATCCCTTCCAGGAAAGGTCCTTGTTCTTTCCATGTACACTTGCTACGTGACTTGCTTCCCCATTGGGTCAATTTTGCCTAAGCGACTATACTTGTAATCTTATTGGTTGATCATAGTTTTGTCCCAACTTATGCCCACCTCATGATTTTGCTCCATGAAACTTCTTTGAGAAGTGGGCTCATGGGCAACCTACTTTCCCAGTCCCCTCCTGTCCCTCTCAGACAGAAGCTGTCTATCCCTCAATAAATATTTTCTACTCTTAACCCCAGTTGTTCACAGAATTCATTGTTCGATTTTAGAGAACATGAATTTGGCGTAACAGACATCTAACAGGTTGGGAATTACATCTACTTCCCCTATATCATCTCTAGATCACTGAGATCCTAGTGGGTCCCTTGCATGCTGGCACATGCTGCCTCTTGTTGTACAAGGACCTGGACCCACCCCTCTAAGATGAAGAGCCCCTGAGAAAACGCATCCCATCACACAGTCACGATGACACATGTTGGGCACAGGTTCTAATACAAATGTGCTTTACAAATGTAACTGGAAAAATACAGTCTGGCAAAAAAAAATGTATTTTTTTTTTGCCACTTCCCACTTCAGGAAAAAAAAGCTTGTATAAATATTTTAATACTGAATTTATTAAGCCATCATGAGATTACTACAAGTTACTTTTGGCCTCTAGAATTACAAGAGGTGCTCAAAGTGGAGGCCATCAAGCTTCCAAGACATTTATTAGTACAGCGATCTGCTGCTTGGGTAACCTTGGTCATTGAGATTGCTGCGCATGCATTTTCAGTTTCTTCTCTAAGGGCCCGCAGTGTAGTGAGATTTCTCCGTTATGCGACACCCTCTAGGGTCCCCCATAGGAGGGTAACACCATCTGTTGAAAAAACATACTATTTTCCTTTTCCTGAAGTGTGCATACATTTGGGGGGGGGGCGGACTCTGTATTTGCAATCAAGACGGCTTCTAAAGATCTGGTCCCGCGGTGGCCGTTCTATTGTTCTCTTTCTAGTATTTCGTTTTAGACGCTAAAGTACCCACGTGACCTGGATGGCAAACGCCATCTTCCCGCCGGCCGCCTGAGCTGCATCAGATTCCTCCAACCGCTTGCTCCGTCTTTTCCGATTTCAAAGGCTTTAGACCGCCTCCCAAGGCCCTTTTTCCGGTCTAAGAGGCCTGGGAGGCTCTCAGGTCATTTGCGGAACAGACGTGATTGACACAATCTGTGTCTAATGAGTGCTCTTCTCCTTCCTAGCTCAGTTTACTAGTTCCGCTCCCTTTCCGGGCTTCTTTTTGATGACTCATCCCTGAAATTCTTCGCAGGGTTGCTTTCCTTAGTTCCGCCTGTCCTTCCTACTTTCGCTCGTCTCTCGCCTTGCCTCAGGGGAATGGTGGGTGGTGTGTGTGTGTGTGTGTGTGTGTGTGTGTATCCTGTCGGGTGTAGTTTTTACAGTGTACTTTAAACATACAAAAGCGGAAAAACAATTTCCGCACAGGAAAGAGGTTTGTCTCCTTATAAGGAGCTTAACCCCTGGCGGTTCTTTGAGCTTCCCCTTACACGTGTCTGGGTGGGTGAGGAAGAAATGACCGCAGGGCTTCTGCCTCCGCTTCCAGATCAGCTCCACACCGTAGGCAGCCCTGAGATTCTAGCACAGGTTACCCTGCCCTGCTCCGAGGGCTGGTCTCGCTGAGAGACCTACCCTAACGGGTTGGAAGTTCACAAGCATATGACAACGTTGCTGCAGCTCTGAGGAGGAAACCAACCGCCTTCAGACGTGGGGGAGGGGGGGGCAAGAAAAGTAGGAAACTAAGACTAGACTAAGAAGCTCTCCTGGACCAAGATGTCTTCAATGGGTAAAAGAATGGCCTTCCACCTGGCCGAGGGACCCAAGCCAAGCCCTGCTCCTGCACACTCTCAGCACGTTTTCCAGGATTAGGTCAGTTGAAAACAAGATTTAGAATAGGAAGTTGGCAAAGAATTGGCTAAATTTGTCCCCTTTGGGCTGCCTCCTGCAGTCTGTTGCTCTTTTGTGGGCACACAGTCATGGTTTCCCTGCTGTCTCTTATCACAAAACCAAAGCATGTCATTGAAAATTTCCAGTGTGACCTTGGTTTAATATTGCCTTATATAGGACTTTGTGCATAGCGAGTACACAATAAAATCCTCTCGAGTCTGTGTATCTTATTGAAGGCTAGAAATTCAAGGCAGGCTAGAATTCAAGGCAAACTGCTCTCAGACTCAGGCACACACTGTATTAATTTATGGGGGAGCATTTGCACTTTGGTATAGATTGTGTCTCCAGGAGAGGAGAGTAATCTGTGGTTTGGGGAAACAAAGAAGGTGCTGAAATCATAGGCACCTTCCTTTTCTACTCCCTCCTAGCCAGCCTCACTGGAGCCCCTTTGTCGGACCCTTGGCTAAGACCCATCCACAGCTCGTTTGCATTGTCTAGGCTTGCCCCTCTGGCCCCTGAGAGGAATGTAGCCAAGGAACCGGAAAGAGGCTGCGTGCTTTCTGCCCCTCCTGGGGTGAAGAGTAAGTGGAGATAAATCCTACCCCCTCTTCAGCCTCTGCTTCCAGCTTCTTGCCTTCATTTTCAACACAAAGCATTTTTGCAGCGTTTCTCTGCCCATGGCTCCATCTCCACTAGTTTACCCATAGTTCGTGTCCTGACAATCAGAGACAAGGGCTGAGCACCAAAACTTCAGAAAGCACACAATGGGGGGGGGGGTAGTGTGTAAAATATGTCATCCCCAAACTTCCCACTAGTCACACATCCAGGGATCAGTGCAATTGAGACCTAAGTAACCAGAGTAAATGCATGAGCTATGTGGTGAAAGTGGAGGGAGGAAATAGTGAGAATTTTAGATCTCTCTAGGACTATTGGGACCAGAAAAGCCACTGGCTCTCAACTGCAAAAAGGATTACTAGAGGAGGTGGGATTTGAGAAATAGGTGAGTGAGTGATAGAAGCAAACAGCCATAAAATATTTGCTTCTTGGGCTGGGGATTTAGCTCAGTGGTTTCGCCGCCTGCCGTGCAAGCGCAAGGACCCAAGTTCGATCCCTGGTACCAAAAAAAAAAAAAAAAAAAAAATTTGCTTCCTGAGGTGGAGTGGGATTAGCAGATGGAGTCCACTTGGATTAGGAAACTGAATAACCAGGGATTGTTATTCCTTCTTCCTTCTTAACATATATTTGTTGAGCACCAATTCTGTCCTAGGTATTGGAAATGTAAAAATAATAATGATAGCAAATAGTTATTGGATATTTACTGTGCTAAGCAAATTACAGACAGTCCTCAGTTTACCATGGTTCAATTTAGGGATTTTTTTTTGACAATCCAATAGTGTGAAAGCAATACGCACTCAGTAGAAACCATACTATGAATTTTGACTTTTTCCTGTGTTACTGATATGTGTGATACAATACTCTCTCAGGGTGCTGAGCAGTGGCGGCGAGCTGCTGCTTCCAGTCAGCCATATGGTCACCAGGGGAAACAGCCGAGACTCTCAGTGTAATAATCTACAATGTTTGGTAGGTTAGGTGTATTAAATAGATTTTCAACTTAATAGTATTTCCAGTTTATGTTAAGTTTATCAGGATGTAACCCATCTGTAAATCAAAGAGTATCTAATTTAAATCTGGAAGTGGGGCTGGAGGTGTGGGTCAATGGTACAGTACTTGCCTAGCACGCATGAGGCCCTGGATTCCATCTCCAGTACAACAACAAAAGGTCACTCAACCAATCTCAAAGTAATCTTATGATGTAGGTGTTATTACCATGCCTGTTTTGCAGATAGGCCAACTGTGGTTCAAAGAAATGAAGTGACTTGCCCCAAGATCACATAGCTGGCTATCAGTGAAAGAGTTGGGTGTCAGATCTTGGCAGTTAGAGTCTGGAGCCCATGAATTGAATTAGAATGCTCTGCCCCATCTTCTAGTTGGACAATTCTAGAAATAGGACTCATTTGGTAGCAGGGGAAATTAGAACTGGGAGTGTCAGGACTTTAAGAGCAAACGGATGGGCCAGGGTAAAGCAAAAGATCCCCGAGGTAGTGGCAGAGCTCTAGCTGGCTAGACAGACAGGTAGAACAAGCATCTGGAAAGCCAGGCTACAGGAGAAACTAGGAGAAAGACTAGACAGGCAGGTGGCTGGCAGCCAATGACGGAGATCCAGCCATGAATCCTGGGCTTGCAGAGCAGGGTGCCAGGTGTCAAAAGGTCTGGCGAAGGTGAGACTGAGCTCTATTCCTGTGGAGACTGAGATGCCAGACAGGGCACCAAGGAAGGACTCGGGGGTGGGGCACCAGAAGAGGGGCTTAAGGCAGGGGCTTTTATCCAACAAAGCAGCAAACAGCCCAGTTATTAGAGCTGGGGACCAGCTCCATTCATTTCCCCTTCCATCTCTTTGGGTTTTTTTTAATTTTTGTTTGTTTTTTGAGACAGGGTCTCATTTTGTAGTGCAGGCTGGCCTTGAACTCACTATGTAGATGAGGGCTGGCCTGGAACTCATGTTGATCCTCCTGCCTCAGCCTCCTGAGTGCTGGAATTACAGGCATATGGCACCATGCCTGGCTCTTCCATCTGTTCTTTCAACAACTTTTTGACTCTTGCCATGTTTAAAGTGCTGTGCTAGGCTCTGGGGTAGCCCATTAAAATGTGTTATGTACATGTACTAACTTCTCACGATGAATGTAGTCATTATGTATTGCAAACATATACTAATAAAACTTTATTTTTTTAAAAAGCCACAGACCATTAGGGGAGCCAGACATGTAAAACAAGTAAGTACAATACTGTGTGATACGTTCTATATTAGAGGCACAGAATGTGTGAGAGTTCTCAAACAATACTACAGTGGTACCTTGATTCACAAACTTAACTTGTTCTATGGTGTTGTAGTCAAGGGAATAGATTTAATACAGAACATATAGTTTACAGGACTATTTTATAATATTCACCCAAAAAGTCAAATGCAGAGGAGTGCAAGGAATCTGTCCACACACTAGAGACTGGAAATATCCAGCCGAGGGCCTGGATCCCATGGCAATGTTCCCCACGAGTTCAGCTAAAGGCATAGAGCCCATGGCAGTGTCCTCCATGACTCCAGCTGGAGGCCTAGAACCCACGGCAATGTCTCATGCAAGTCCATATCTAGGATCTGTACCGGGAAGGCCCAAGGGCCAATGGTGGAAGCTAGAAAGTCTGCAACAGAGAGGTGAAGAGTCTGTGCCACCAGGCTGAGGGATCTGCACTGGAGCCAGGAAGTGACACTCACAGCAAAGATCAGAGCTCCCATAAAGAGAACAGCAGCCATCCCCAGCGACAGAGAGGACCTGAGCTCCTATTCACATCAGGAAAACCATCTGTGGCAAACTTCTCCAGGAAAATCAACAGCAAAGGATCGATCTTCCCTCCAGTTCTCTTTTTATGCTGTTGGCAACAATCCTCAGGTGAGTCTTCCGCACCCAGAACCATGCTGACTCAGTTCAGCTGTGCAGTCCAAGTTGACCAGTAGTTAATCCACCACAGATGGCTACATTTGTGTTTGTGTGGGAAAGATGGCCACGGTCCTGTTTGTCACTTGATGCAGAGTTTGCAAACAAAAACAAAATTTTGCCAAACATTTCTACTTGCAAACGAAAGTGTTCATGAACTACTGTGTTCAGTGTTGGGTCTTTAGAGAAATAGAGACACTTCTCAGACTCAGTAGTGGAATAATATGGACCAAGGCACGAAGTTTTGAAGGACTAGGGCACATCTGGAGAGCAGTACGCAATTCATACTGGATAATTGGGATATGGGAAGAAGGGGAAGAGAACATAAGTCTGAAGAAGACCTGAAGCCAGGTCATGAAGGCTTTGTGGATGCTGTGGAGACCTTGGATGTTCTCTGTATGAAAAGGAGAGCCAGCGACCTGCGACTGGATTGCACTGGGGTGTTTTAGAAAGAACACATGGGAAACCACACCCAGCATAGTGCACTGGAAGCAGGCCGATCACTCAGGAGGTTATTGCAATTGTGCAGGCAAAAAATTATGGGAGCTTGAGCTAAAATGGAGACAGAGAGGATTAGTTCAGGAAAACATTTCTGAGGGGTAACTGGCATGACTCAGTGACTGATGTGGCCAATGAGAGGGAGAAAGGAGT